AAATAAATAAATAAAATCTTTAAAAAAAAAAAAAAATAATAATTTTCCTTCTGAAGTCCTTCCTTGGTCTAATAATGATAATTGACAATTAGGAAGTACAAACATACCTCAGAGAGATTATGGGTTTGGTTCCAGACCACTGCAATAAAATGAATATCATAATGAAGTGAGTCAAATGAATTTTTTGGTTTCCCAGTGCATGTATAAGTTTGGTTTACACTATACTGTAGTTGACAGAATGTGTGATAGCATTATGTCTAAGAACCAACATACATCCCTTAATGAAAAAATATTGCTAAAAAATGCTAACCATCGGGCGCCTGGGGGGCTCAGTTGGTTAAGCGACTGCCTTCGGCTCAGGTCATGATCCTGGAGTCCCGGGATCGAGTCCCATATCGGGCTCCTTGCTCAGCAGGGGGTCTGCTTCTCCCTCTGACCCTCCCCCCTCTCATGCTCTCTCTCTAGCTCATTCTCTCTCTCAAATAAATAAATAAAATCTTTAAAAAAAAAAAATGCTAACCATCATCTGAGCTTTCAGCGAGTTGTGATCGGAGATCACCATGACAAATACAGTGATAATGAGACAGTCTGAACGATTGCAAGAATTACCAAAATGTGACACAGAGACACAAAGTGAGCAAATGCTGTTGGGAACATGGCACCAGTAGACTTGCTTGACAGGGTTGCCACAAGCCTTCAATCTGTCAAAAACGGGAGTATCTGTGAAGTGCAATAAAGTGAGGCCCAATAAAATGAGGTATGCCTGCACTTGGTCAAGGGCTTTACATAGGGAAGATACTATAATGTGTATGGGCAGAAGCGGAGGCTCCAGGGGGTAAATGAATTGCTTCAGGTCATACAGGCCATAAGTAGAAGAGCCAGGTTTTAAACCTCGCTGCCAGATTGCAACTCCAGAGCATGTAACCTCTGTGCCACGCTGGCTTTCCAGGACCTTCTCTCTTCAGGACTCAATTTGGTCCACTTTCTTCTGCCTATTAAATCTGACTGGTGGGTATATTTCTTTTTGTTCTCAGCCTGCTCTTATCTAGATGTCACTAGGCCAGAATTGATAACCTCACTCAAATTAAATCATACATGATTAATATGACATCAGGAGTTTTTGCACAGAAAACTAATTTAGTTGTTCCATCTCTACACAACTTTGAAGGCAACATGGCCATAAGGGCACGGAGTATTTTAAAAGTTAGACCAAAAAAGTTATGGCAAGGGTAGAAGGGGGTCACAAGTGGTAATTTTCTGAAACAGTGCCTACTCTCACTGGTTGAAGATGAATTATTAGATGAAAACAATATTCATGTGCTCATGCCTTGTGTATTGCCTAATAGAATATTTTATCACTTTTTTTAAAGAATTTACTTATTTGACAGCACAAGAAGGGGTAGTGGCAGGCAGAGGGAGAGGGGGAAGCAGGCTCCCTGCTGAGCATGGAGCCTGATGCAGGGCTTGATCTGCTTAACCGACTGAGCCACCCAGGTGCCCCACATTTTATCATTTTTAACATATCAGTGTGTCAATTCTTGCTCCTAAGGCAGGGGGCATTTTGATCCCAAACACTTGAAAAACGGATGAGGACTGGTTTCACCCCAAGGTGACTATACAGAATGATTTTGGGTGTCCCCAGATATATATACCCTTTAGCCAGTGGCATACAGAATCTTTGGTTACAATGCCAGCATCCCAGAAAGAATACCGTATTAGCATTATCAGTTATTATAAATTGTCAAGGGATAGTGATTCTCATCTAATATGATGGCTTGTTGAAAAGCGGGAAACTCCCGTGTTTTGAAAAGGAAAGAGGACAGGACAAAATGTCAAAGGGTTTGGTCAAGGGTTTTGTCCTAGATGGACTTAGGGTCAGAAGACAAGTGTAAGGCCAGGTTCTGCACTTCCCAGCCCACCTGGTTTGCCTCAGTGTGCCAGTCTGAAAATAGAGTGTGATATCTGTTGTAATTTAGTGTAGATATGAAGCTCAAAATTAGGGAACATGTATGAAAGTTTTTTTGCAAGCTTCATAGTATTACACAACTGTGAAGGATTATCATTGATTTAGAGCATGGACTATTGCCCCTAAAGGTCAGTCTCTGGGGTCCCACAGTTAGATGGTGCATTGGACATTTAGGGAACAGGTTAGGAATACTGGGGCCCTTGGCAATTAAAAGAGAAGGTGGATAGAGAGGGAAGAAAAAAACCTATGTATGGAGTTTGGAGCCTCCATATTATCCAAATTTAAATGTTACCTAGACCAACATTGAGGCAAGGTCCTCTCCCAACAAATGGCCCCTTAAGAACCAAAAGCAGGAGGTGCCTGGATGGCTCAGCCAGTTAAGCTGTCTAACTCTTGATCTCAGCTCAGGTCTTGATCTCAGGGTCATGAGTTCAAGCCCTGTGTTGGGCTCTGTGCTGGGCATAGAGCCTACTTAAAAATAAATACTTTTTTTTAAAAAGCGCCAAAGCAGAGTGGCACATCCCAGGTGCCTTTATGTACGGACACCATAAGAAACTGAGGAGCGCCGGGGTGGCTGTTGGTTGGGTGCTTCCCTTGGGCTCAGGTCATGATCCCGGGGTCCTGGGATCGAGCCCCGCGTCCAGCTCCCTGCTCAGCAGGGAGTCTGCTTCTCCCTCTTTCTCTGCTCTTCTGCTCCTCTCCGCTGCTCATTCTCTCTCTCTCTCTCAAATAAATAAAATCTTTGAACAAACAAATAGACATAAAAGAAATCGAATACACAGCATCCTGTAGTCCGTCAAACCTGGCATAACTGCAGACCAGGTAATCTGGTAAACAGCTATCACTAGCATTATCTCTGCACCTCTAGGAATCTGGCTAGACAGGCAGGAGTCAGGTTAGAAGGGTTAGGCCACATGCCTCCACGTAAAGCCTAATAGAAGAATCCAGATTCAAATGAGTGATATCTCAAAGGTTCCAAATTTAGTTCCACCTTTCGGTTCACCTTCCCAGTCCCCTGCCCTGACCCCCTGATCTGGGACCTTTATTCTGCAGAAATAATTGAAGTGGGCTGAATAATTCAAGCTAAAAAGAGTAATACCTTGCTTTTTCCTTGTTATTAAAGCAGCAGAAACCACCAGAGGAGGCTAAAAAGCAATAAACCTTATTAGCACAGTATTTCTGAGAGCTTTTAAAAAGTAATAGACTCACCTCCACCCACAGATTCTGAAGTTTTAAGGTAGGGC